GAGGTTCGCGCACGAGCATCATGTGACAGAGATACGTGGTCCTGCTCGTGCGCGATCGCTCGTATCCAGACTGTGACGCTGCTGCTGCGTACGGACATATTATGTGTTAGCTAACTTCTAGGCTAATGCCTGCGCCTTATGCGTATAGCAGAGCTATGGTCTGCATTGTGACTACTATATATAAGAGGTGGTAGCTTTTTCTTTTTCTATATACTAGATAAATAGACTGTTTTTCTTACATATCCTTCTCTTCTAATCTTATAATAAGAAAAATAAGTGTGTATAATAAAAAAAATAAAAAAGATAAGCTTTATATAAAAGTGTTATTAGTCTAGTTAGTTTAGAGCATCTTTATGCACAAGATCTAGCTAGTCTACAGATGCTTCTATCTAGACAGAGAGGCAGTTAGTTAGGACTAATAATTAAAAAGCTTAGTTTAGTATTTTCTTTATACATGCATTTACTAAGTTATTTTTACTATTAATTTACTTTATCTTAGTAATTTTCCTTTTCTTGTATAATTTATAAAGTAACATAATGTTAATTATAAGTTACTTTTTACTAGTAGTGCTTAGCTTAATAAAGTAATTATATAGAAACTTTAAATTTATGCAGATTACTACTAAGATTAGTAGCAGTTTAAGTGTTTATATAATTTACTATAAAGTTGTACTAAGGGTAATTACATTATTAAACTTTTTAACTATTCTATATAGTTTGCTAGTAAGGACACTTCTAGTTACTCTTTTACACTTAGTAGAATTTTAGTATATAATGTTGCCTAGTATTTTAAAGTAGTTACTTTACTTTATATAGTCTTTATTACTTAATATAATTAAGAATTTTAGCTGTAAGCTAAGGTCTTTATTATTAGTAAATAATCTATCTATAAAAATAAACAGCTTTACATAATTAAGTTATAATAGTAAGAAGGTAAGACTGTGCTTACTATTGTCTATCTACTATTAGATTTATGTGTTAAGTGTGTTAATGTTATTATATAAAGGGTCTATAGTTTGTGCAGTAATAAATAGGTTAAATGCTGCCTCTAGTTAACACATAGATGTAATGTATACTTTTTTTATACATTACTTAACATATTATTATGCAGCATCTTTATTCTTTAGGTTAATTATATAAAGGTAGCTTACTTATTTCTTCTAAGTAAAGACTACTGTGTTATGTGTAAGTTTAATTCTTTTGCTATTAAACTTAATAAGTTGCTTTTTTACTAAAATAGTTTTACCTTTTATGTAAAACTTTACCTTTTATAGTTTTTTCTCTTTTTTTTACATAAAATTTTTTATTATAATGCTTAAGGTGTTATATAAATGCTTCTAGTTATTTCTAGAGCCTATGTTGTGCATATAGTGCATATTTACCTAACCTTCTAAGATATCTAGAAAGATGTCTGTGTACTAAGTTTTCTAGATATCTAGCTATTAACATAAATTAAGAAAAAAACTTATTTTATTTATAAAAATATTATATAGTTAACTTATATAGTTATTATTTTTTTTTATACTTTTTAGAATTATATAATCTTATTTGCTAGAAGTTTTTCTTTAGCAGTTTCCCTCTAGGGTGGAAGTTTGTACAGGCTGTAATGTAGTATAGATTGTGCAGGTGGTATTAGTAGTGCATACACTACTGCAGGCGGTAGTGTGTACAATTAAGGGTGTGGAGCAGGTGTTAGGTAGAGTGGCATGTATTGTTTGTATAGTAATTAGTGTAGTGCTAGCTAAGGTGTAGGAGCAGGTAATGCTAGTATATTTAGTGTTAATAGCAGCATTATGTTTAGTCTGCTTTTATGCAGAGCCTTATATAGTAATAAGGGTTATGTACAAAGCTTTTTTAGTGCAATTGCCTTCTCTTATGCTATATTATACAGCTTCTAGGCTTAGGTACTTTTAGTGCCTAGCTATAGTATAATTTCTTTGTTTTCTAGCACTTATATAAGCTTCTTTTTAAATGTGCAGCTAAGTGCTAAGAAGTCTTATAGTATCTATTTTTTAAAATTCTTTATGTACATACTTAGAAAAGTAGCGCTTTTTTAAGTTATTATATATAAATTAGTAATTATATAACTTATGTATAATTAAGTCTGCAGGCTTATTAAAGCCTTTAATATGTTAATTTTATTATTCTAGTACTCTAGGCTAGTTTTATTCTGTAGTGTTGCCTCTAATATTCTTATATTTTTTATAAGTTATTTATATAATAGAAATTGTTTCTTATTTTTTTTATTATTACATAAAGTTATTAGTTGCTAATAAGATTTTATTATAATAGTATAGTTAATTACTTTTCTAGTAGATTACACAGGTACTGCTATTATCTAGCTACTAGGTTGTGCAGCTTTAATAGCTTTAGTGTGCGCTTTATACTATCTTCTTTTTACTTTATACAGTAGCAAAGCTTACTATATAATGTAAAGAATTAATGTGCTATTATCTAGCTACTAAGTTATGCAGCTTTAGTAGCTTTAGTGTGCGTCTTACACTATCTTCTTTTTACTTTATATAGTAGCAGAGCTTACTGTATAATATAAAGAATTAATCTACTATTTTAAAAGATAAGTAACTAAATAAAGTACCTTATAAAGTGTAGGTACTCTGCTGTTACTTTTCCTAAGAAATAAGTAATAAAATAAAGTACTTTATAAAGTGTAAGTACTTTATTATTACTTTTGCTAATTTATAGTTAATTAAATTAACTACTAATTAGTGTTAAATAGGCTCTAACAGCTAGCTGCTTATAGTATAAGCACTTAAGTAGCAAGAG